ATGCAGTCAATGTGGTATATACAGCACATTGAGTTACTAGTTTATTAGGCATGCCTACACTGTACCTATCTTATGAGAAACACTTCGCACTTAGATGCACCTGGTATGTTCGCAGTCACTGACTGTGCCCCATCTGTTGCTGCTCAATTTATCAGCCACATTCTATCCCTCTATGAATAGAAAGGGGCCACAATGATCAAATATTATTTGGGTGGGGACTGGTCTCAGTACACTGGCAGTGTCATAGTGTGTGGCGTTGATATGAGTTGCTGGGGTTTTACACAGTGTCCACTTACTGGCCAATTTATCCAACATGCCTGCATTGTTGGCCCACCTTGGTGCATCTTTTTCTCATGAATTTCCAAAAAAGTTGGTAAAAGAAATTACTGTCAAATTCAGTTTTGCACAGATTCCAGAAGATGACACGCGTGGAGGGATTCGGACCTTTATTATCACTCGGTAGAGCAGTTTTGACAGCCTTCTGTCAGCTGCACATGGTGTTAACAGCTCAGAGATGCTCTGTGGAGTAGGCAGTGAACCATTTAACGAAAGCTGAAGTTGCTGTCCCACTTTGCCATTGCAGACTGGATACCTGTGATCGCCGCTGGGGCAAACAGGACATGGTACCAACTCAATCAATACTTATTTTAAAATCATGTTTCCATCAGCATTTATCGCATTTCTCCTTTAGTGAAAAAACAGCTTTTCCACTTGATACAAACATAACATTTTTTGCAATATGTATGCATTTTTTTGAATTTCTGCATTTTCCATTCAGTTTTTTTCTCAAAACTCGCAGAAAAGAGATGGTTGAAAAATGCTTTGTGTTTGTAAACATTTCAAAATGCTTGAATGTGATGGAAAAGTTGGTATATCGGAGAAAAGAGAAATGTGATAAATGGTGATTTATTGAATAAGTGTTGATGTAACAGGAACTGCACCCTCTCACAACTGTTTGTTCCAGTGGTGTTGGCAGGGGTTCCCCGGGCAATGGCGAAGTGGGACAGTGTCTTTGGGTCTTATTAAATGGGTCACTGCCTGCTCCATCCTTCATCTCTGAACTGTTAGGGCCACACAGAATTTACATAGGGCTGTAAAAACTGCTCTTGTATACTGGTTTGTATATGTTATGCGTTGGGAGTAAGACTCGTCACATTATCTTCAGGAATTTAGGCAAAACAGTACTGATGGCAACTTTGATTTATTTGCATTTTCTTTTACTTATCTTTTGGAAATATGGTCAAAAATTACAAAGCGCTTGAATGGAAATAATCCGGTCAGTGGTGCTACAGCCATCAAAGGGTCTCAATCCAGTTGGACATTTTATACCAACATGTTAGACAGGCCACCATCATCAAAACAGCAAATGAGGTACTGTAGTTCGGAAAAACGGCATTCTATCCCTCCAGTACAGTTCCAGACACTTGCAGAACCTAGGCCAATGTGCACTCAAGCTGTTCTGGCAGCCCAACACCTTACTAAGGCACTATGATGGTTTTCTTTAAAGGGGACCTTTTATGCTCATTTTCAATGTTCACAATTTTTTGGGGTTTACTAGAATAGATTTGCATGCTTCAATGTTCCAAAAGCATTTTTTTTCACATACTGTACATCTCTATTCAAACTGTCAGTCTAAAACGCTCTGTTAGAGCTCCTATGTCTTTATGCCCCCCTTGAAATAAGCCCAGTGTGCTCTGTTTAGTCAGCTTGCCCACTCTATTCTCGTTGGTCAACTGCCAGAGCGGTTCCACCCTTACACATTCCGCCCCTGTCTTGCAGTCTGCAGACAGACCCTTCTCTCCTAAGCAGCTGTAAACATTGCTGCGGCTATTTTTCCGACAGCGTCAGTTCTGCCGTATCTGTTTGAGCCAGAGTCTGATCCTGAAAGTCAGGTCAGCGCCTTCTTGACATACAAAACTATAAAACTGAACGAACTCTTCCCGCCAGTGTGCTGCGTGAGGGCGTGCGAAGCTTGCCGGTAGGCAAGCAATAAGGATTGTGTTACTACATTGCATCATCTGTGGTTTCTGTGGGAGAGAGTTACTCCTTCTGGCTTGTACTTTGAGCTTTGTAACTTTGCAGACCATTTACATGCACTAAAGGAAAGGGGAAAACCAGAAAAGCATAATGGGTCCCCTTTAATTTTTCACCCATCTGTTAATAGTAAATGTACCTGCTAAAATGTCCTCTCAGTTTAGGTACAAGGTAGCTGTACCTAATAAACTGGACACTCAGCATTTACTTTTCCACTCTTATTTCCAGAACAGTCTTTTTTTGCATCTAACTGCATCTGAGAGGCCCACATGCCTGATAACTTCCCATTAAATTAAGTAAATCTCCTTTGAGAATGTGCCGCTTTTTCTTTGTAGTCTTCCTCCAGGCGGGAAACAACATGAAGGCAACAAGGGGATTTCAAACTCCTTAAAAAAGTTAGAAAGTTTACATGAGCATGCACTCTCAAACATAGAAATGGCATTTAAACAGGTTGCCAGAAAAAACTGCAATGTGTATAGCATGTGTAACGAATGTGTGTCATGAATGGAGTAAAACAGCCATGTCATTCACATCACACGTTTAAACGGTTTTTAAGGATCACTCCAATTTTGATTCAGTGTCTAATTAATTCCTTAAGTTCTTGTGTTTATCGCTGTGTGTGTGTTGGCAATGTGTACAGGGGGGGAATTTGTCTTTGAAGTTGCATGGAGCAGTCTCAGGAGGCCTCGAGGCCTGAGGCTGGACTAGGCAAGTGATGAGAAGAAAACTGATGCGCTGAAAGAGAATTATTCCCTTTCCCAATACAAAAGATAGTCATACCCAATATCCTCTCTTACTCCACATCCCTTGGCCACTTCGAGGACACTCACCAATGAAGAGCATTCCGTAGCGTTTCATCAGAAAGAACGGATTAGCATCCTTAGCCAGGAATGATTGGGAGGAAAACGTAAAACAAACAAGCCATGATGAAATCATCACTCCAGCCTCATCCATTATGAGACTGTGAGTGTTATTTTGAAAGTTTTAATGAAGATTGTACTGGTTTATTTGCAAAAGTGACAGAAGAGTAACAACATATGACTAATGATGCAGTTAACAAAGCAAAACATTTTCCTTCTGTTGTTTTGCTGGTGTGACCACACAAACAAATTCCAAAAACCTTAGTGCAGGACTGCCCAAAGTGTGGCTCATGAGAATGTATTATTTGGCCCACCAGACTTCATATAACTATACAATATATAACTTACATTCCTGTTTTTTTTGTGGTATTCTTGTAACAAAATATACTATTTATGCTATAAAATGCAGTTTAAAATCTCTATTTGAAACCTACCTACCTTCTTTTCTGTGTCTTTGTCAGATAAACTCATCTTTGTGCAATTACATAGGTATATGGAAAAAGCAATTTAAACAATCTGGCATTCTTATGAAGGTCCTTAGGTCATCATGTGAAGCTGTGGTTGCACTTGAAGCTGGAAACAACCCTGCAGTGAATCTGATGTCATAAAAAATGGCAAAGGAAATAAATACATAAAAATTGGATGTCTACACTATACATAACTTAAGGTTTTATTTTCCTTATAAAGTTGAATTCCTGAAGTATTTTAGTTACAAAATACAGTATACTGTTCTAAAACACACTTAAAAAGAATTGAACAACCTGGAGTAAAGGTACAGTTTGATCTCCTAATAAAATGGCAGTGAATAAATAAAATTAAAAAATAAAAATCATGTGAATACTACTAAACCTGACTCTTTTGTATCTCTACTATATCTTAACTAAATAATGGAAATATCTAATACTAGCAAATCAAGTCAACAAGATGTCTCGCCCCTCCTTAAAGGGGAACTCCACCAATTTTTCAAAATTTCTGCATAACGAAATGGTTCAGATGTAAACAAAGGCATTCAGAGAGGTTTAATGTGAAATGCTTTGTTCTAGAGAAACATATTTTGTCAGAATTGTTCACAGTGGTGGTGATACGAACCAAAAGCACTGAAGAGTTTAATGCCCCAAAAACCTCCCTCACAAAAATGTATTACACAAAATGTTTATGAATACACTACCTGATGCCCAAGACATTCTTTTGTGAGTTTTGTGATGAAGCTTTGGCCTAAAACGTCCTGTTAATCCATTTTTAGTCATTCATGGCAGAGGGGTAGATGAGGCACATTATAAGTCAACATAGTCCGCAAAACATATTTTTTCAGGTTTTCCATTATTTTACCATCATCAACATTACATACACAAACTCAGAAGACACATGTAGGATCACTGGTGGTTTGGGTAATAAATAAGATGTCTATGTTTGTGTTGTACACATCATGACCCCTGGTTCCTGGTTCCTATCACCACCACTGTAATGAGTCTGTAACTTTCTCTACAATGAACCATTTTTCATCAAACCACTCTGAATGACTTATCTTCACATTGCAACGACAAAATTGTGTGACAATTTTGAAAAATTGGTGGAATTCCCCTTTAAATAGTGAAATGTCTCGGTCACCAGACAGACAGTTCAATGACACAGATCACTGAAAACCTCCACAGACGCAAAGTGGAAAAAGTTTAAGAAACTCACCATACAGCACACGCTAACCTTGTTTCAAAGTCAGTTCTCCTTTTTGGAATCAAGTTTACAAGGACGAGGTATAAATTTCCACCATTTTGAGCCTTGTTTATGTAATTGACACCACTAATGTAGCTCTTCAAGATGAGGGGCCATGGCCAGTCCCTCTCTGCAACAGCTTTTGAATCACAAATCCCTTTTACAAACAAGGAATACAGCTTGGGATGTACCAATTCATTCTAGGGGTTTCCATGTACAGTGCTGTGATTAGGAGTCGACCGAAGTGAAAAATACAGATAGGAAAGTTCGTATACTCTTATATTATGTGTGATACATCGATGTAGATCTGCTTATAATCCAAAACTAATCAGTTGTATGGATTATCCGAACTTTATACCATAAGCCTACAACCCCTGTTCAGAGCGTGGTAGCGCTCACACTCCAGCTGATCGGCCTCGACTCCCGGTGCGGTCCGTCGGACTGTACGCGGCTATTAAATTTATCTAGTTTTATTCCTATTAAATTCCAAAACACTATAGTACCCCGCGTTATCGGCGACGTCTGCTTTGTATGCCGCCGTTTTTGAATCGAGGATTACATCACGAAAGCTTTCTTGGGAGGCGTCGAGCTGAGGAAGCTGAGGAATTTGCCCCCACAACAAGCAGGCCGCTAGCTCATCCCCGGTCTTTCTTAGGGCAGCCCGCCGCGTTCAGACAGCGATGGGGGACACAGGGAGTGAACGGAGCAAGCCGCCGAGTAACGTTATACCTCCTCGCTGCCCTTGTGGATTCTGGGGGTAAGTGTGGTTTACTTTAGCATTGTTTCTTTATTGTAAACGATGCAAATTTCGCACGTATTAGTGAAAAGGTCGTGAAGTAAAACCTGCTAAAATGACTTGCTAACCAAGCTTAACGAGCTAGCTAGCTAGCCGTTAGCGCCGGAGGCTAGCTACTGTCAATTTGTGCCCATTGTTGTTTGAGTAGGCCAGGATGGGGGTGGGGAAGGTAGCCTGTTTTTCAGCTCACCAAGTACCTTTTTTTAAAACATTGCTGTGCGCTCAAAACGTCGAATGAGCAAGCGTTTGTGTCATGTTTTCAGAATAAGGTACAGGGTAATCGTATTTAGGTGAAACTGGATTTAATCGGCTCGGTCAGCTCGGTACATCAGCTTGCAAGTTGACAGGTTCTAGCGAGCTAGAATAGCTGGCTTTGTCGAGCTTTAACATTCAGTAAGGGAGCCAGCGAAATGTCTCGAACTCGAAATTCTGCTTGAGAAGGGAACCGAGTAGGTGACTGTCCCTTTATTTGCTCACTCTGACCATCATCGATCAAAGAAGCTGTCAGTTACACAGGTGGTCCTTTGCGCAACGCTGTAAAGACCATCTGATACGGATGGGGGAGGGTAGCAAGATGGTTTATGGGGTGTCGCTTGCTTCCTATTTCCCCGTATTCATAGAAGGGATTCTATGGAAGCCCATCCCTACCACTTAAAATAACAAAAAATTTAGCACATAATTATTAATTTTGGATTATTAAGTGAATTGCTATGCTATTATTTTGTGATGGTAAGTCGTTATTTAGACATACTTTTTCATTATTTTGAGATGCCATCATTTTTTGAGATACTAAGTGAGTTTTCAAAATATTATCTTGTTCATTTGAGACACTAAGTCGTCATTTTGAGATTCTATGTTGTTATTTTGAAATACTAAGTCATTATTTTTGAGATACTGTCTCATTATGGTGACATGCGTTCTTATTATTCACTGATGTTTCCTCATTTTGAGAAGCATTCTTATTTTGAGAAACTAACTTAATATTTTGAGATCAATGTAAGTGTATATATAAAGGTAAATAACAAGAAAAGATCAGAATGTTTCTCAAAATAATGACAAAACATTTGACAAATGATGACTTAATATTGCTAAATAATGACAGCATCTCAAAATTTTGAGATATTATCTCAAAATAAAGACCTGGTGTTTCAAAGTAATGACTTAGCAATTCACTTAATGATGGAAAAAAAATCAGTGGTAGTGTGTGTGGGGGGGGGGTTGTTTGTTTGTTTGTTGTTGTTGTTTTTTTTTAGGTGGCAGGAAGTGGTTTCCAGCTATTTATTTTTTTGTTAGTGTGGGATTTGAAATCTGGCAAATCACATGTTTGTTGGTTCGTTTATTTGTGTGTTTGTTTGTTTGTTTGTGGTGAAAACATTAGCAAGTGCAAAAGCGATACAAATGTCTTTGAGTGCCATGAAAGCCATGTGTTTATTTGTTGACAGCTTGCTTGCTTGAGATGAAACCAAGTGCGTTGAGGAAAAGCAGTATAAAAGTGTAAGACATGTAATACTTTTATTTATAGCTCTCAACTGATTTTTACAAATTACTTGTTGTCAAACTTAGTGAATTCATTGCAGGCACTATTGCTTATAGGAATAATCCTGTGTCATGACGTAGTAACTTAATATATTACTAAGGATAAATGTTTATTTAGTCAAAGCCCGTTTATCTTAAATGTGCCCTGTGGTCTCAGAGTCACACTATACAAAAACATTTAGTCCAGTTGCTTTAAACTATGACCATGGGGGTGGTGAACTCAGTTTGTTTGCTTGTTTTTATTTCAACAAGAGCGTCATAGAGTGGCAAACCATTGTTATTTTGTTGATCTATCACTTTAGATTCTGTCTAGTGATGCCAGCACTGCAAGAATTTGATGAAATACAACCAGGTTGATGTTTTAACATTGACTACCGTACTGAAATGGCAAGCGATGCAGAAAGAAGGTGAGGTGAAGAGTTTGCTAATTAGGTATTTTGTGGAAATCTTTCTGTCTGTTAGTTGTTTGCAGCCAAAGAATGACATTCGCAATGCTGTTGATAAGCCTAGACAGAAGTTGTTTTTTTCAGTCACATGTTTATTAATGATTGCTCTACAGGGACAAATAGAATCAGGTCTCGAGGCTCGTTTTTCAAGCTTCCCAAAACATTGTGTTAGCGCTCACAAAATAAATTGCCCATCCCAAATATGTGTTCTTTTGTTTACATTAATGTTACAATTATTTCTAATTATTAAGTCTTCAAACTGTTGATAATATAAATTATATATAACTTTATATTACATAAATATGACTTTATATTACTTCTCTATCTATCATTTACCAGCTCTTGCTTTTTCTTTTTTTTTAGACTTACCATTTTCCATTTTTGTTATTTCAGCACTTTTAATTATTTATGTATTTCTCATTTTCCTCACTGCTTGTATAATTAAAGTCAACATGAATCAAAATTTTCCCCCACATCATTTTCCTTCCATACCATTACGTATTTCTGAATGGAACACAATATCATAGAAGGTCTGAGCTAGCTGAGTGTTTTTGCTTGGGGATGGAGGAAGGGGAGGTGACATATGATGATAATGATGATGATTATAATGAAAATGATGATGATAATAATAATCATAATACAACAACAACAACAACTACTACTAGTAATAATAATAATAAAAGTGTTACATAGCACATTTCTCTAACCCAAGGACTCTTTGCAGTAGTAACAGAATGCACAATCAATAATAAACTAAACAACCACCAACACACACTTGGGCACACATACACACACAGGTCCCCAGTTGGCATGGGGGGAGGCTCCCCAAATCATGTTAAACAGTCACCTAGCTCCAGGGGAAGGTCCCTTTTGGGCCAGGAGACCTTGTAGCTACAGTGTGGTGGCACATGGATGGCCAGCCTGGGCAGCCACGTTGTTGCGGTGTAGTGGAGCTCAAGTGGCCAGCGCAGGAAGCCTCATAACCCAGAAAGAGTTTTTAGCCATGGGAGGAAGACCCAATCAGTCTCATAGGCCTCGAAGCTGCGATGGTAGCATCACCCAAAGCATCCAGCCCGAGAAGCCTTAGAGTCACAGGGGAAAGTCACTCCTGGCCGCTGTCGTGGTCTATACAGTGGAAAACTCCTCGGCCAGTGCAGAAAAATCAAAAGCATACACGGAATATAGTGATCGTTTCTGCCTCCTGCATGCTGATGTTAATTAGTTGACCCTGTTAAACATCAGAGGTCCTAACAAGGTTGTAAGCTAAAAGTGATTTAAAAAAAAAAGTTTTGAAAATGTCTGGTATCGATGTATATATTTAAAACAAAAAAGATGATACATTTTTAAAATATAAGTGTGGTAAGTGAGGTGCTGGAAATGGGTGGAATGCCAGTAACCTTTTAGAACAAGCATGCTTACTGGTGCACTGATGCTTAGAAGACTGACAGTGTTTTGGAAATTTAGCATTGAATAACACCAAAGTTTTCAGTACTTTGTGTTAAGTAATTTAGTTGGCAACTGAATTTTGATACCCAGCTCTACACTTAGGGCATTTTACGTTGCCATATTATAATTAATGGCATGTCTGACAGCAATCATGTTCAAACTGTTGACAGTCTGTGATTTGCCGGGCCAAATTCGAAACTTCGTTTTACCTCTAGGATCCTAGCGAAAGCTGTAGTTCAGCAGCTAAGCTCAAAGTTACTTAGCGGTTTCATATAAAATTTAGGTAAAATTCATGTAAAATTTAGGCTCCGTCATGGTACTGAGATGGTAATAATCTGTGATTTACCTTTGACCATGCATATATCTCATGCTACTTGATCTTGTGATATTTGAATCTGTTCAACTGTGTAGACTAGATAATCTTGTTGGGGTCAGGGGAATCATACCTAACAGTACTGCGAGCAGTTTGTAAATAAAGAACACTCTAAAAGTAAAGTGTGTCCCAAAACTGAAGGAGTACAAATTAGAAGAACAGTTAAACAAAGCTAACATATTCAGACTGTCGTATCTATACTGTTTTTTGTGTGTTTTAATATCTAAGTCATCATTACATTCTAAAGGAAAATTTCCCAGATCAAAATATTTTTGGTCAGTTGGGGAAAAAAACAATATTGAGAGATTTTCCAGACATATTGTGGTGTCTCAGTATCAGTGCTAATTTAATTAAAAGAGCTAGAAACGCTGACATAGCTTGTTTTAATTGAACTGTTTTGTTCTGTTCTGCATTTCCTAAAAAGTACACCAAAGGGAACCTTACACACTGTTGTAAACGTTAACCAGACACAAACCTGATTTCCAGCAATGACACACAGGCCTGCTGTTTATTTAGGTTTCATGTAGTTTGAACTATTCAAACTACAGAAAACAATCTGAAGCACCCAGGAAGCAATCTATCAATACTGCTAAAACTGAAAATCAGTATTGAGTGTGATACTCTTAATACACCATTGTAGACAATATATCATGCAGTAGTAGACGAACTGCATTACCGCAAATTCAGACCAGATGTGCTGCTTGGGAATATGAGCTTTTTTACAGTTTTACAGCAGGTTAAAAACTCCGCAGCACTAACAGAAGATTTATTTAGTGCAACAAAATCACAGTTTACAAGTTTTTGCCTGTGCTGATGTCAGAGCAGAGTAGCCTTCACTGTTTGGTGATTTAACTTGATCTGTATGGAGCTTACACTTCGCTCACATGCTCAATGCAGGAAACAAAATGCAGCCGGTTGGAAGGGCTTGGTTTTTGACAGACAAAAGATGCTTATAGCGCAGCTGGTGTGGACTCACACATTGGACTGTTTCGTCAGACGTATGACTAATAAAATGCTTTAGAAATGCATCTGGTGTGAATTGGCCTTTACGCAAACTTTGTCACTAACTCTCACAGTTTTTCTTATTGTCAGTGCCTATATGTTCCGAAGTGTATATGATAGGAAATAATTTTACAAAGTCATTATGCATGGCCTCTTCTGGTAAAATCTCCCCTTTAAAGTGACTGTCATTGTGCATTTTGGCTCAGTGTTACCTTTCCCCAGATGTAGAGTGAATATAATTTAAGCTTGATGCTTCTGGACTTGCCCTTGATCGGTGACAGTAAACTGGATTAGAGCTCCTGGGAAACCTCAGACTAAAGCTTATCAGGGCTGAAACGGAATGCAAAAGGACTGTGTTTCATCACTGAGCTGTTAATTTTTTTGAGTTTGCCTTCATGTCGTCAATTAAAATAGGAAATGAACTAATTGAATAGGAAGTAGACTTAGTGGTGCTTATTTCGGTTGCTCTTTTTAATAAGCAGCAAAGGGATATGCATGTCTTTGACAGTTCTGCCTGTCAGGCAAAGCAAAGAGCATCATTTTGTGTCAGCCAGTTGGTGGTCGATGTGTTTCAAACCAAATGATTTAGTTGCATGCGCATGTGAAGTGATGGATATTGCATATAAAGGAAACTGAGAGTAAGTTGTGGTGCTTTAACATCTCAAGGAGGTTAATTTTCTGTTAGTGCTCAGGTGTCATGTTCATGCTAGGACATCAGTGAGCAGTGTGTAAAAAAAACAAAGTACACTTTTGAGGAAACTTACAAGTAAAATGGAAAAAATAAATTACATGGCAAAGTGATTAAAACATTTATGAGGAAATATAAGCACATATTATAACTAGATTAAAGCCTATAAGTTTAATAATAAGTTTATCATTTATGTCGCACCCTTCTTGAAACCAAGATTGCTTTACAGAAGCATGATAAACAAAATGAGTTGAAAAAAAGACGAATGATTAAAGTATCAACTGAGAAGAGAAGGAGAACTGAAATAATTGAGAAAGGCGGTTTTAAGCATGTCACTGAACAAGGAGAATAAAGAGCAGAGTTGAACAGTTTGTGAGAGGGTGCCTTAGTTTAGTGGCCTTGATCATAAAAAGGTCTATCCCAAGTGGTGACCAGTCTGACGTTAGGAGCAGACAGAACTCTAGTATTATGTAGTTGCTTATGTGGCTCATAGGAAATGCATATTTTCAGCTTTTTGCTGAAAATACTTTGCTGTTGGCAGTTCAGCTATTAAAACTGTCAAGTGGGAGTTCTGTCATTCAGATCTCAGTCACTGTGAGGCAGATGAAGTTTTGGTTGTTGTTTGTGCCCATCATCCTTTAAAACTTGTTTAAAACTGTAAGACTTAGTGCTCGGTGCTTATCTCTGGGGTGATATTTGATTCCACCCCCCCTTGCCTCCCGTGCTGCTTTCGCCCACAGAAGGTGAAGTTAGGTGTGCACGGCAGAGTCTTGATTGGGGCTCTCGCCTTCCTTCATAAGCCTTAATTGCGGCTGACATTTAACAGGAGATGTCAAATTAATCCTGTTCCTGCCTGTGTATGCCCCCTGAGACCTTGATTGGCTTGGAGTGATGTGCGAAAGAAAAAATGAGGGAGCGATGGAGTGCAACATACGAATGCACATACCCCAAAACATGTTTACTGCTCTCTCCTGAACTGCCTGTCATAGGAATGTTTTAAAAAAAAAAAACATTTGGCATTGGCAGTGGTTGAACTGGCTGGTTTCATTAGTTTGTAACTTTGCACATTTGGGAATACCTTCAGACACAGATGAACCCCTAGTTATTGGATTTGTGCTAAAGTCTCTTGTGATGATGAAAGGTGTTTAATCTTTGTTTTGGTCTTTATTGAGCACTCGACCATCCAAACTCCTACACTTTTTCTTCTCAGTTGATCTAATTGTGTTCAGAGAGACTTCATTTTCAATAATAATGAATGAGACCTGAAGCTTTAATAAACATGAAAGAAGTAAGCGTTAAGCTTTCTACCTGCAGGTGACTTGTTTCTGCCGCCACACCCCTGACTGTGTCTTCAGGAACAGTCTAGATCTGTCGGTCTTTCCCAGTCTATACTTTGAGTAACGCAGAGTTTCATTTCTTCTTTAAAAGTTGGTGCTCTTTGCTTGTGACTGCTCACCCTCCACCTCCTTAATATATATTATTTTTACTCAAAAAAATCCTAGTCTCTCCCTGTGCTGCCATCCGCCTCCTTGATTGGGTGGTGATTATGATTACTGTTGATTGTGATGAGGACCGATTGTTGATGTTGTTTTTCACGTTTATCTGTGTCTTCCTTTCTGAGCATGTTGAGAGAGAGTGTCTTCCTATCTGAGTGTGTTGAGAGAGGGAAAGGGAAAGAGGAAGGGGTGGGTGAGAGAGAGTAACTTGCAGAAGTTCATGTGTAAAACATTTGAATGGTACTGGGTTCTCTGATGAAGATGAACATTATATACAAGAGCTTTTTCCATTTGATGCGAAAACAACAGTGTGCTGGGCCTCAGAGCCATGATGAAGTACAGACTGAGGTTCTGTTCCGATGCCCATTAATGGTCTCTTTCCTCTTTGAGCCAAGCCAATCCAGTCAGATCTGATTAGCTGCTTTGCTGCACAACTCACGTGTGTAATACAGTTTGGTCAATGGTTTATCTTATTCTTTCCCCAGGTCGAGCAAAACCATGAACCTCTGCTCCAAATGTTTTGCAGGTAAGATGGTCTCTTTGTTTGTATGTATGTACGTGTGTATTAGGGCTGTGTATTGGCCAAAACCAATACGATACGTATCACAATACAGGGGTTAGGATTCAATATTTCCTACGACATATTGCGATACTGTTAGCAAGGTGATATATTGCGATTTTTTTTTTTAGGGAAGCTGTCACAGTATTAAAAAAAACACCATATGCATAAAATTCGAGTAAAAGAAAAAGTCTTGCATGATCAAACATTATAGCACAACATTTGTGCAGTCTGAACAAAGGAGTTGATATTTGTCTATATCAGTTAAAAAAAAAACAAAAAAAACAACTTGGGTACAGCCATGTCTTCCTGTCGTATGTGCTGTCGAGAAGGTATCCAATTTATTCACCATGTTACAGAAGCCTTGTCCTGGCAGATTGTGCTGCTGTTTCGAAATATCTTACCGTAGGGCATAAATGTAGGTAGGCTCTTACATAAAACCTTAGGACATTTTGATAGCCTAAATCAAATGAAGCTAAGGTCAGTTCTTTGTTCGAATTTTCCCATTATGCCGTAAATGGTGCAGCAGTTATTATTACAGTGCCTAAAGGCCGTCCAAAATTTCGAAACTGTCTTTAATGGAGGTGTACACACTGGCGCCAACACAGTGCATCGACGCATGCTGGCGCTACATGACTTTGAGCACTGTTCAGTTCCTTAGTGCGTCAGAACGAGTCATGCAGCATTTTACCATTACTACATTAAAAATAAAGCCATATTGAGGCCACAGAAAGCCACAGACCACATGTGGCTTGAAATTCACACGGAGAAAGACGTCAAGTCATTTGGATAAACAGACAGATCTAATGGTAAGTTACCTCAGCTAACGTTACTATCCAAGCATTTTTCAGCTCATATCTGACTAAAAAACAGTCAGTAAATGGAGGCCAAGCATGACGAGTGATGCTGAGCATTTTATTTTATCAATTTACATGAGTACAGTATAAAAATGAACCTAAACCTGGCGTTTTTGGGCTCTCTCACCATTCTATTGCAGCACTCTGCTGTGTGGTGCTATGCTAACACTGTGCTTTGCGACAGCTTTTAGGTGCCAGAATGTAACTACTGCACCATTTAGGATGGAACAGGATAATTTAAACAAGAAGATGGCATATGAAAAGTACGGAGCCCCGGTGGGGACGGAGGTAAAGTTAAAAACAGGAAAAAAAAAAATTAATTAGAGCGAATGTTTTACAGTTCGCACGCACGTTTTCTTTTATTCATGGTCACGGTTTCTTAAATCGTTTCCTCGTTTTCTTTTAAACGTGTGCACGTTTTGTTTACTTCGTGGGTACGTTTTTTTTTTATTCGTTATTTTCTAATCTGTTCTCTCGTTTTCTTTCAATCGCCATATTTCATTTTTAACGGAACACACGTTTATTTTTTTTATTGGCGCGCAAAATCATTGTTGTAGATACAGGTCGTGTTATTTGTCCTGTGCAGAAGTAACTAACAGCTCCCTGACACTGACGGGTTTTGATGTGTTAGACTGATGAGATAATGATCAGAGATGCTCCTCAGGTCTGATTTTGATTTGGGGTGTTATGAGGAAACTGCAGCTCCTCTTCACAGCACACGGCCCTCAGATTCATCAGTGCAGCTGCAGTTTGGTGGTGAAATGAAGGAAGACAAACTACAATCACAATCTTCACTAAACTGCACTTTCTAATGATCATATTTAACAGAGATAGAGACACAGCGTGGCAGACAAACTGCGGTGTTAGAGATTACGCAATTACAGGAAGAAATGGTCAGCGTCAGCTCAAACACACACAGAAACATTCATGTGGGATGAGGTCAAATGGCAAGAGAGTTTAATAGATCTATGGATTAGATGTAGATATGTTAATGTGAGAATGTTGAAACGCTGATCATTTCTTCTTGTAATTGTGCGATGGTCTCTAACACCGCAATTTGGGCCATTTGCTGTGAAGAGGAGCTGCAGTTTCCTCATAACCTCCCAAATCAAAATCAGACCTGATGAGCATCTCTGTTCAATATCTCATCAATCTAACACATCAAAACCCGTCAGACAGGTTAAAAGAAAACTAGAGAACGAATTAGAAAACAGTGATCACAAATTTTAAAAAATCTACACAGGAAGTAAAGAAAACGTGCTCACGATTTAAAGGAAACGAGGGAACGATTTAAGAAATTGTGACCACGAATAAGAGAAAACGTGCGTATGAACTGCAAAACGTTCACTCAAATTAGTTTTAAACTCCGTCCTCTCCGGGGCTCCGTAGAAAAGCCTACTTGAGCTTTGACTAAATTTTCTTATTAGAAAATGTTACCAGCATTAAAAGGATATTTTGAAAACCTAAATCACTTTATCTAGGGGTGAGTAGTAATATAATGGACAAATACAATAGATTGGACAATACAATGGATTTTACAGTAGATTTGAAATAAGACTGAATTAACATTAAAAACACTTCTACAGTAATAATGTGGGCATGCCCGATAAGAAGGAAAAAACGTTAGGACACAACTGTAAGTCTTTCTGCTTCAGCCATTGGTAATAACATTACTAGTCAGCTAGGGTTGCTAATGCCTATGTTAGCGGTGCGCTCTTATATACAGTCTGTGGGTGCACCCTTACGCTACTTGTTTGTGGTGGAGTGGACGAGTCTAATGGCTGGAGATAGAGTACAACACTGACATCTAGTGGTCGGGGTTTTAAATCAACACAAAAACAAAACTTTGGATGTAAACTATTAATTAAAAATCAATACAGTGTTTCTGAGAATCGATACAGTATCACAAAACATAATATCGTGATACTCAAGTGCACTAATATTTTCTTACACCCCTAGTGTGTATATTTTTGTCAGTGTAGGACTGTTACTATTAGTAGTTGAGTAATCTACAGATTATTTTGATGATTATTCAATTAGAAATATAAAGTTGTATTTAACAGGACAGTAGTAAACCATGCAGGTACGTCTAGAAACTCTGAAATGTAAATACTAAGAAGCCTTTTTAACATCTTCAAATCATGAACATATGACTCTGTGTGTATCATTCTCGTGCTGTGTTTAGAAAGTAAATTTATAAGCAGCTTTTTTTAATTACCTATTAATTACCACTGCTACAATAATACTAAATTTCCACTGTTGCCGCTGTGGGTTTTGCAGTCTTGTGTCCAAGCTAGTGGTGGGGAAGATTCACTTTAACACTACTTATGGCCCTAACTTAATCACTGATATCTAAATACCACTGCTATGGTAATGCTAATTTCCACTAGTGGGTTTTACAATGTTACAATGTTGATTGTATTACTAGGAGTGAATGCAAAATGGAAAATGTCTTTTGGCTGACATTTTCATAGTGAACAAGGCTGTGTGTGTGTGGGTGGGTGGGTGAGGAGAAATACACACAAACACACACACACACACTCTCTCATAAGCCTTTTTCCCCTCTTCACTCCTCTCAGCCCTCTTCACAGCTCCTCCACATCTCACTTGATTTCATCCCTCTTGCAGCCTTTTCCCCTGCCCTCACTTTATCTTCTCTACATCAGATATCCAGAAGAAGCAACCTGACGAAGACTGCGCCTCAGAGCCCACCCCCGGCTCCAGCAATAGCCAATCAGCAGTCTTCTGTAACGAGACAAGCAGCAGCAGTAGCCAAACCCTGTCCTCCACGCCAGTCAGCTCTGAGGGGCCTTCGTCAGATGCCACGCCCCTCTCTGCACAGGAAGGTAAATACAGCTGTGGGTTTTGGAGGTATACATACGTTTCAGAGGGGTAGAAAGCCCAGCCTAAGCAAATACTATAGCAAAAAATCTAATGTACACAGTTTTCCACTCACCCCAAGTGTAGCTGCTCAGCCAGGATATATTTGAGGTTTGCTAGTCGGGTATATGATTTTATTATAACTAATGTCAGTAAGATTGATGATGCAGGGCCTCCCTTTGTTTTATGAGCACACTCCCTTTATTTGGCACTCACACTCAAGTTCTTACTCTTTGGCACTGTATTGCCAGGAGGCATTGCACATCACAATCAGCGTCTTCCTTTCGCAGACGATGCTGGTTAAATTCTGCTGACTTTGTTTGACTCTGTCTGTCCTGGCACACATTGTCACCATCAAACTATTCTGCACAGATCCACCTTAGAACAGATTCCTATCAGTTCTGTGAGCATTTTAGGCCACTAATGATGCTTTAACTTTTCCCTTGTGTTTCTGTCTTTCTTTGTCCCTTTTGTGATTGTGCCTTCAGAAGCTTCGAGTACAGATACAGCCCGCGGCACGCTATCCACTCCCACAAAACGACCCTGTGACGCAGGTAGACCTGGGCACTGTGTGTCCCTTACATTTACAAGTATATTTGTCTGTGAGCACAAATGTTTGCCTTTTTTTGTTTTAGTGGACAAGAATGACTAACTAGGTTTTGAGGTATGGAAGCAACAGTACTTTCATTTGTGTTAGATTATTAATCCTTTTGAATCCAATAACAGCTGATTATAAATATCTGAGAACACACACACAGAAAACCTGCAGTTCTTTGATGGGCCTGATGGAAAATAGAAATGTTTGTGATGCAGTGGGCATACTTCTAAATGTAATGCGTTAATAAAGCTACTAAATACTTGGTATGTGAATATTTTAGCAGATGTTGGCTTTAATATTCGAGCAGTTCTAATATTTTACATTTGTTGAAAATAGGGCATTTGTACAGCCCATGTTTCCAAGGTCACATTTCCTGTTAAATGGTAAACCAGACACCACCAAGACACTAAGCAATGCTGTCAAAGCATAATTTGCTAGCTGACTTTCAAGTACAGTTCTCCTCTTGTGATCAGAGTGGCTGCTTACCGGTTAACAAGAAAATGAACGCTTGAAGAAATGTGTTATTGTTTTTGTTTCTGGTCTTATTCAAAGTTCAGCACAAGTTTAAATGTTAATTGCAGATTGACAGTAATTGCAGGCTTCTAGAATCAAGTTGATGCAGACAACAGAGAGTAATTTCGTTTTATTTATTATAACATGGATGAAATATAAAGAAAGGAAAAACAATATGTTGTAGAATAGTGTGATAAAATGAAGCAAACTAGTGTGCCAACCTATATGCAATGTAAACTATGGATGGACACAGTCCTGATATCCTGCATTGCGTCACTATTGGGTCAAAATGTTAGACTGTTTTCACAAGAACATTTTTATATGGTAAAACTACACATCTTGGCACTGGTTTTAGTGAAAGTAATGCATTAAGTGACTTCAGACATCAGCTGTCTGTTGTCTGTTTTGAAAAATAAAAAAATAAAAAACTCCACCAGAGAACTTCAGGTAAAACGTAATCTGACATACCCATGCATCAGCCAACAGAAGACAGAGTGTTAAGTCTGAATAAAATGAAGAAGAAACTAATTACTGCTGTCAGCTCACATCGGATATGTTCATTTAAAACCCACACATAATTTGTGTGGATTTTAAATGAACAAGTTGGACGGGAGCTTTTAGGGCTATCTGCATGAGATCATGCCGATTTTAATCGCCCAGTGCAGTCCACGTGCTTTTACTGCTAGTCCGGATTGCGAGCTAGCGCGCTCTCCACTGCATTTTTTTCCAAGTTTAAATGACTGAGTGTTGGCTAGCAAGCTGAAACTTCTTCAGATTTTTTTTTTAGGTTTTTGAGGGTCTTAAGAGAATTTATCGTACAGAATCTAAAGCATGGTCATCTACTCACTCACTGATGAGTTCATCAAAAAGTTTTTTTCAGTTTTTAAGATGTCATGGTTAAAACAGGCTGTTCACTCTTTGCATGCTTATCACTGACAGGTTGAAACAGTTTCAGCAAGCTGGTTAGAATTATAAGATCAGGCAGGATTAGAATTAGAATTTTATGCTACTTTTTATGACCGTATTTGTTAATAAGTGAACGTTTTCTCATTACCTTATAGTATTTCAGTTTCAGTAAAACGAATGAAGGAAAAAAAAAGAATCTGTGTTATTCAGCCATCACAAAAAAGCAAAATAGTAGTAATAATAATATTAAGAATAATTATTGTTATTGCCATAACGAAGATTAACAATAAGAATAAAAAAAAACTTTTTTTCATTGTCATTAAAGTGAAACACATTTCTTGTTATTGCAGAATATTAAAAAAAAAGTTATTATTTGAAAACGATCAAAAATTTAAATATTCAGTAGTTGCAGCCCTCATTACTTCCTTATGTGAAAAAGACCACCAACTGCCAACAGGTGAGCTTCCATGTTTGAATGAGTTTCCCTTTCGATTTTCAGTCACTCAGGAAAAAATGCAAATCTCTGTCCACTAACACAACTACGACAAACCTGCAACATGTATCAGTGCGTTTAGCAAAAATGTCTTCTGAATCTTAAAATACACTGCGTTAGGAGCATTAAAAGCAGTTTCCATACCCATTCTTTTTGGGACCCTACCACTTAGGGCTAAACAATAATACAGTATCCACCAGGGATGTAAACATGTATCATAGTGGTACATCAATCTGATGACAAATCACCTGCATCTATTTTGTATGATGTATTGTTTTCAGCATTTATATTCCACTGTAGTTTAACAGTTCTTCCAGTCGCATTTGTGTATTCCGTATAAATCATCATATCAGATAATAAACTAATAAAATAAAACGTTCAGGACAATTAAAAATATTTTCTAAAGAATCGTAATTTAATCTTCATGATGTGATAAATTTACACCCCTTGCATCCATAGCCAAAGGTTTTCCTCTGTCTGTGTTTACCAGTCTCAGGTTCGGAGAGCGAGGCATCCCCAGAAAAGCGGGTGCGAGTTGGAGAGCCCTCTGAAGAATCTCCACGAGGGTCCAAGCAGAAGAACCGCCGGCGTTGCCATCGCTGCCAAACCAAACTTGAGCTCGTACAACAGGAGCTGGGATCCTGCCGCTGTGGTCAGTATCAGTCATGTTTTCTCCTAACTTCACTCACACACAAAAAATGAGTGACATGGCAAAAAATATCACATCATGTTGTATGAAGACATTTTTATGCAGCACCATATGTATTTTTATATGCAGCAGCAAAGCAGTAGTGCTGCAGCAAAGGCTACCAAAAAATGAGTACACTCACAATAATGATTGCTCAAACGTATCACACACACGTTCCCCCACCTCGTCCTGTACATCATCGATCTTCACATCTCTTGCTGAAATCAGTTTCTTAACTGAATCACTTAGAAGGGTGAGAATCTGTGTAAAAAAATATTCCACATTGCCGAATTTTGATCTTTTGAGATACCAGGATTTAGCAGCAGGTAATAATACAATACAGTGCAACGGTTAAACAAAATTGCACATTCGCCATCATGTTTCAGTAAATGATGGTATTATCTTGTTAAATTACAAGCCAAAATCATCCCACCCATTAAACAGGGTTCCTATTGTTACCTAGCAGTGGCAGTCATCGATTTAATAGCGGATCCCGCCGCTCTGCTAATACACTTAGACTGATCCTTTATCAGTTCAGGCCTGAGTGAAAATAATCTCCCCGTGCTATTTCTATTAAATGACTCCTATTGTTAGTCAGCCCTCTTCAACTGCCTCTTTTATCTTCATAATGCCTCTTTTATCTTCATAAGAATGTGAGAGTGTTTGTGTGTGTGTGCAGGGAGAATATATGAGGCTGTGTGTATCTGTGTGTGTACTGGAGCGGCTCCAGCTGTAGTGCTGTGCAGCCTTTAATTGTAATGCTTTAATTGAGGCATGCTGAGCTTTTAATCATCACTCACTCTCGTTAAGAACACCATGTGTATTAATGAATACATTAAATTCTTTAACGAGCCTGCCCGTGTAACAAGTCTCTTTGAGCTAAACAGATACTTCCCTCTCATGCACTGCAGCTTTCACTCTCACTTATCTCATAGCACCTCTTGGCATAATGCTACTCAGGCGCGCTTTCGTACGATACCGGATTCACTGCAGCTATGCACAATTAGGAAACCATTTTCAGGTGCTTTTACCATCTGGTGTCCCACTGCCGCTGTGGTACCGTGAGATTTTCCACCAACCAAACGCACACACACTTTTATGCAGGAGTAAGGGTATTGCAATTACTCTGTCTCTCATTTTTAATTGGTTTCAAAAGTGCATGGAAATCAGCAAACACTGCTGCACTTCAACTGGTTATTGCTAGATAAGAAGCGTTGTTTAGTATAATTTCTGATAGTGATGCACCGACACTTCAAATAAAAAATTTTATGATAATAAAAAATGAGAAACCGTGATTAAAAACGTTGATTGTTTCTGCTCCTGCACTGGTCAGCATTCAGAGTAGGGGCTGATGCTACTCAGTGAAAAGAAAAAAAAATGTTGACTTCATGTGGATCTAATTCACGGTTTCTATGAGGGACATTTGACCAGCAATTTAGAATCTCTTTTGATGTCGAGCATCCGGAGGAGGTGCAAAACCCAAGAACTTCCTTACCACTAAACACGCCTGCTCAATACCCAGAATACAGCAAAACAACAGAAGCAGAAAGTCCCTGCCAGGATGCTAATGCAGTCTGTATTTCAGTTTCATTTCCAGTTTTCCCGAGTGTGACCCGTGTGTGCACTTTCATTGCATCACTAATTTCCGATTAGTTTCTTTGTGGTGGGTGAAGCTGTGACTGGTTACCCCAAATGTAATCGATCACCCGAGCCATATTTGGTGTGTGAAGTTGACTTCTTTAGTTTTGCACTGCTCCTGTTAGGTTAATGTAGCTAACAAGTAAGCTACATTAAACATTAAAACTGTAAGGTCATAAAATGTCTAAAACGTAGTGGTCCTCTCTGCTATTAGAGGTATCACGTTTAGGGAGATCCATGCATGATTTCATGGAAAAATTTCAGTTTTGGCCATATTAAGGCCAAACTAGTTCCGATCCTTTATTTCGTTTTTGTGCTCTGTTTACTCCACTGTACTTCACTCCAGGCAAAATGATCTAAATGTCTACAACATGAAGTAATACAGTACAAACAAAGACTTGACACATCAGTAGTGCCAGTGGCATCGAAGCTTGGGATATTTTAAAATGAAACACTACAGCAACGTTTTTCACTCACTAATCGCTGCCAATAAAAAAATGAAACTATTGCAGAAACATTTTGCTTTACCAGCCAGGCCAGTTCTTGTTTTAAACTGGCATTAGCTGAATTTGTGTGTTCAAAACTGAGGGAAAGGAGCAGCTACTGTTACATCAATTATTAAATTGTAATTGTAATTAATGTCTAAAGACTGGGTTGAAGACTTATTGTGTGCATTAAAGTAATCCGGGATAGTCTGTAAAACAAAAATATCCAGCTGAATGCGGCCTTTTCATCAGAAAAAAATCACTGATGAAGGGCTATAGGACTCAAAGATGGTCAAAAAACCTGAAATGGCCATGCCAGGATGTTTGATTTTCAAGCAGTTTAATAAATTAGATGTTAGTTCATGCCATATTGGAGTTTGTGTGGATTTAAAAGGTATTTTGAATTTGACCTAAAAAAAAAAAAAAATGTGAAGTAACTTTTGTTGTGTGTTTGTCTTAGGATACGTGTTTTGCATGTTGCACCGGTTGCCGGAGCAGCACGACTGTCTGTTTGACCACCTTGGCCGCGGGAGAGAGGAGGCCGTGCTGAAGATGGTCAAGCTGGACCGCAAGGTGGGACGGTCCTGCCAGCGCATTGGAGAGGAGTGCTCCTGAACACACACATCTACGCACGCACGCACACACACAACGTGGAAGAGGAGAACAGGACATACATTCACAACAACAACTCCCTGCCAGTCCCACTTTTCCGTCTTGCCCTGAGGCCAGTGGTGCTTTGACCCTCAATGCAGCTCCTACCCTCAAAGCACTGCTGAGTCAACCCTGAACTGTATGACCTTCACCTCACTCACCTAGCACTGTTAAAAACCTGCCTCCTTTCCCACACACACGCACGCACACACACACACATACAGATACCCACATTCTTATGGCTCTGATACCCCTCACAGCTGTCTTAAGCCCATTCCTATGGACCTTGTTGGAAGACCCCTTCCCCTAGAACACATCATCCTGCCCAGAAAAAAGAAAACAGAAAAACCCTCCACTGGCCCTTTTATGGCCCTCTTGACGTTGTCTGACCTCTGACCTCTCAGCTACTCCAGCTTCCGGCCCACACTGTCCCTTATTTTCATCAGCCTTACATTTCTGTTATGTTGCAGGCTTTCAAATGTAGGTCAGTGGGTCAGGGGTCATTCCTAAGACAAAATCTCCTGCCTCAAGGTCATGTACTGAGGAAGGGCTGATCTGCCACGAACCTTTGACCTCTCCCTCCATCCCCTCCACTTGAGAAAAGTCTGTGGTTTTTGGAGAACTGCTTTTTAATCCTTCCCCCCAGACGCTGCGATCGACCCCAGGGGAACACATCAGTCGATTTGAGGCTGTCTGGGAGTCCTCTTGATCCAACTTCACAAGTCTCCTCCCATACTACGGACAGAGAAGACGGTCAACTTTGAAATGGAGAAGGAATTTGACCCAGGGAGTTAGACGGGGAGGGTCCTTCCTTTCCCAGGTTGGCCTCAGGAGAAGCCACTTGAAGTTCTCCACACACTGGCTCTGCCCTAGCAAACAGGAAGCTACTCTCATTTTAGAGACACAGCAGTGCCTCTCTTTTCTGTCGTTGCATACACTCACCCTCACGACATATACATGCTGTTTCAGTTACGTTTTCATATATACATATACATAAATAAATATATATTATATATATTGTTGGGTCCGTGCGCGTGCAGCACAGGGACGGCAAGCTAAATCAGACGGTACCCATCGGACTGGGTTCATTTGGGATCGGGCCACAGCACATTTACAGGTTGCCCCAGGGTTTAATGGGAACTGTAGTTCAGGTCTGAATAAAAACACACTCTGTAAACTCATTACAAACTACAACTCCCATAAGACCCCTCAGACGTATTGAGCGACGCTCTGCCTCCAGAAAACAGCAGCTGCTTTCAATGGGATTGTTCTTTTTGTCTGTTTTTCTTTTTCTCTTTCAATCCATCGTTTCTTCCCCACTCTCCCTCTCTCTCCATCTTCATTTAGAGACGATCTCCATCAGTACAGTTTGTTGCTCCCTCAGCCACCTCTTTTGACATCTCTCCTTTTCTCCCTCCCACACTCGTACTCTCTTTCTCCAAGATGCTCATATTTTTCTCATTTCTTTGCAAGAATGGGGTTTGAGGGAGGCCCAAGTTGGGGTGGGGCAAAAAGGGGCAAGGTAGAGCGCAAAATTTACCCATCACTTTTATACTTTACGCTGTTTTTCCGTTGAGTTGTTGGACGAGGACAGAGCTGACGAAGATAAGTGAATATCCTGTATCTTAAAAGAAATCCTTATTTAACCTTCTTTGTGTTTCTGATTAACTCTCACTACTGCATAGAGCTGCATTTCTTTGCCCTGTTTAGGTTAACATTGTTAAAAGGTTAAAAAAAACTATGGATAAGAGAATAATTCTGTAGCCTTTCTTTGGGTTTATTTGTTTTGTTTTGTTTTTTTTCTTTTTTTCCTTTCTTTCCTCCTTTTTGCTGAAAAAGAATAAACTGGATTAGTGAAGAGCGTGGTAGATTGTTTCTGGTACTTCTAAATCTTGAGTGTGTCTGGGATGGTCGGGTGGTATAACAATAATAAGCTTAAAAGTTATCCAAGGATTTAAAATGATGACCGTATTTCAAAATTATGGTGTCAAATGTCTGTTCCACATCTGAGCAGCCAAATAAACACATTCCACCCATTTGAATTTTAGAGGGGTCACTGATTGGTGGTGTGGGAGCTCACTGATAGGTGGTGCTGATAGAAAGAGGGGAAAACACGATAGCAGCAGAGAATTTGTAGTGAGAATTGCCACTCAGTAGTATTTTCAGTGTTTGTCAAATGTTAGAGGGCGCTCCCGAGCAAGTCCAAAATGAATGGGCTAAAATGGAGCATTTGAGCAAAATCAATCAAGGCATTTACTGAACACAGAACAGCGTAGAACATTTTAACACCTCTTATATTTTTGACTGCTTTTGAGCTTGTTATAGGAGTTTTTATAACAGTGCCTCATGTGCGTTCATAATGTCAGTAAGCATGAATCGCTTCGCTCAGCCAAGGAGCTGCTCCGCTTGGTAACCATTTAGCGCTCAGTAGCAGTAATGCTAGAAAAATAAGGAAAGATACTGGAAAGTGTTCTTTGCTTTTTTTAGTGATATGCATGCTTCTACTTTCCAAAATTAAAGAAAGGTCCTGAATAAGTGCTGCATAGAAAAGTGTTTCAACTTTTTTGCTTTTAACCATTTAGCTCCATTCCACGCCATTCATGTAGGACTCGCTCGCAGGCGCCCTCTGGCAGTTTTCAGTCATGTTATTGAAACAACAGGAGAAATAACAGCCTCTGAGAGCAGCTCGTTGATGGCTAAGAGCTACACACATCACAGAACAAGATCATTCTTGGCTTTGTTCTCTCAGATATCCTCTAAATGGGCATCATTTTAGCATTAGTTAGCTGGAACCGAGTCTGCACTCTGAGACATTGTCATATATCCTTTTTTTTTCCATCAAATCGGTTGGCAAGACCATCTAAGCTGGGTTTGGACATCAAATCTATACAAATAGTGACCGACCCCCAGCATGACCCGAAAATGGCGGGTAGGGAAACCCAGGGATGCAAATGTGAATGGGGTGGGGAAAAAACTTTCATGGCCAGTTAAAATGCATTTTAGCACATTTAAACATAATATTTAACACTTAAACGATTATTAAACAATGGATTATCACCATGAAGCACAGTATGTTTAGTACTGAGTTGTTAATCTAAGTTTACACCGTCAGCTACGTTACCTTAGCCGACCCCTTTCAGCTGTGCAGCTTCATAACACTGCCTCACTTTACTAGACTTTTTTTCCATGGTAGCCTCATTCATTGCACATATTGTTTATATTAATTAAATTTTATAATCAGTATAATCAGTTAATGTCAATTTTATGCAATTGGATTTCATAAAACTTAACACAAAATGCAGGGAAAACACTGTACGGAAAACTGCTCCTTCTGTGGAAGCTGGTGTATGTGACCAATCAAAATGCATCTTTGTTGCTAGGCAGATTCTGCAGAGTCCAACCAATCAGTAAATCGTGTATGACTTCGGGTATTTCTGCAATAATTACTGAAATGCAAAAAGTGCCGAAGTACTGTACAGAATACAGCACTCTTACGTTACTCTCCAACAGCATAGAACAGGTTTGATTTCAGCTTTCTGTCACTCCAGCACTAGTCAGTCACCTTTTGCTTTCTCAGACCTTAGTTTTTATCATCTACACTTGTTTCAGCAGAGCAGCAGTTAGTCCGAATCAAACCTGCACTGTGGTGTGTGGCACTGTTCAGGTCTCTCGTCTGTTTACTAAGCTAACGTTAAGTTAGCCGTGAGGCTTCAGATCCAGACACCACAGAACAGGTTTAAATTTGCATTTCTGTTTTTTCAACCCCAGTTACTTAACATGAGCTCCTCACATTTGAATCATTATCATCTAAACTCGTGACTGTGATTTAGTTAGCCAGAATCAGGCTTGTTCTGTGGTGAGCAGCTAAGCTAATGCTAACCAGCTCCTGGTAGTTAGCAGCCATGTTTAACTTTCAGCATTTGTTAGATAGATGGTTTGACATTTATTGGAAGACGGCTTGAAAATTGTGCACTGCATTCACTTATTTGGTGAATATATTAGCAAACTAAACTATTTTTCACAGGATGAAATAGCACAGAAAGAGACATAAATGCTTATACGTCGTGTACGACGCTTTACACCCCTCCATCCCAGAGAGTTAATAATACTACAGAACTTATATTGAGGAGAATTGCCACTCTGCAGCATCTTCCGGGTTTGTCAAATGCTATTGAGTCCAAAATGAATGAGGCAATATGGGCTATTTAAGCACAATCATAGTTTGTAAGTACTTAAACATTTTCATATAGAACAATGCATTTATGTATGTGTATATACATATATACACACACACACACACACACATATATATATATATATATATATATGTGTATGTGTATATATATGTATATATATAATTTTTTAGCACTTTTGAACTGAAGTTACAAGACGTTATAACACTGTCTCATGTATGTTCATGACATCAGTGAGCATGAACCACTTTACTCAGCTGCTCCACTCACCAATCAGCACTCAGTAGCAGTAATGCTAACATCCTACTGCCCAAAACCTGATTGCTGTAGAAAAAAAGAAATATACAGGGACATTTTCTTGGATTTTTTTAGTGAAATAAATCTGTATACTTGCCAAAATTAACAGAAGGTCCAGGACAAATGGTTAGAAACTGTTTAAACTGCTCCATTCACTCCCATTCACTGAGGACTTGCTCGTGGGCGCCCTCTGGTGTTTTGCTGTCATGTTATTGATTTAACGGGAGATATAGGAAGTGGCCAGAGTCCCCTTGAACTGGCTCTGGTAATACTGTTTACTGTGATAATATTTGGAGACCGTTTGATGGTATGAAACAAGTGGATACTGCCCAACCCTGTGTCTGAGAGAAAGTGTGTGTGTCTGAAACAGTGTGAGTGTGTTACTCAAAAAGAAAAAAAAAGTCATTACTCATTTCCTCCTCAACATGTGTTTGAAATGAAATGTCTGATAAATGCTGGTCTTACTCTGTGTCTGCAGAGCCATTTCTCTGTCGACTCTTTCATTTGAATGTGTGCTGAGGAGGAAATGAGACTTTTCAGGCCTTTATCACACGTCCACACAAAACAGTTCATTACTGAAAATTCTTTTTCCTTAATCTGCGTCAAGGAGAGCAGCCCACTCATTTTATTCACATTTTACTCGTATGGTTACCTTCATTATCTTGGTGTTGATGCGTTCGTTGCAGTCCTGCTATGACTAGTTAAACTGAGAGTGCTTTTAGGTTCTGCAGTGCCAAGAGTGAATACAATGAGATCCGTGTTTACAGTGACAGTAAGGTAACACTAAATATACTAAAGACGAACGCAAATAATGAAATGACAAAATACAAGGTTTTGTTTAGTTCCCGATTGATATATCAGATGGCCGATAAATATCTGAAGTGTGTAGTCTGTGTCTCGCCCATGTTCGGAAGCTGTCTGAGTCTAAGCAGAGTTTATTTATGAGAAAAGTGAAAGACGTTTATGAAAGTCGCCCCCCTCTCGCGCCATGTGCTAAACAAAATACTTGATGGGTGTCACTAGATCTTGTCGTAATTACGAGGTTGTTTAGCAGCCCAAGTACAAATAATGCTACAAGCAGGCTAACAATCCTGCACACTGAATGACATTTCTTGATAATAAGTCTCGACTTCAGCCATGTTCTATACCAACCCCAGCTACTGAAACTGTAGGCTACTACTGCTACAGCCGCTTAACTACCACATCTGACAAAGCTTAGTCATTTGTGTGGGGTGTTTTGATGAGTTTGCCCACGTTAAGCACTATTGGGATGGGATTAGCTTACTCTGGGGAGGCAGGGTAATCTAATTTTACCACAAGACATCTGTAATGTTTATGACTAATTCACACAGGATAAAAATTTGTGGTGTAAGTGACAGAGATGGGAATGGCTACTGGATTCATGCACTGCCTTTACTCCAGAGAAGAGTAGAAAGCATATCAAAACACTTAATTTAGCTGTAATTCATGTACTCTAACCATCTGTCGTGCTGTCATAATTGAATGCACTGTGTCACAAGCATTGTCATTGGTTTGGGAATTCACAGCCAACAGTCAAAATCACTGCATGAAATCAGACTTTTTTTTTTTTCCCTGTAAATTAAAGTCAGATTAATATAACCTAGGCCTATTTTATTGGAGGTAAAAGGCACCAGAATCTTCACTGATGCAGGAGCACAAAGTCTGTAAAAATGCCTGAAGTGGTGCAGTCAGACAGGACTAAAATCACAGAGAAACGGCTGTAAAAAAAACCATCACCATCATGTAAAACTAATTCCGTCTGAATAAGGCTTTATGACGTCAGTTAAGTGTGCAGCAGTGTTAGCTTACATGTAGCTTTAGTCCTAGAGCCGCTACTCCTCCGTATTGAGAGGAGCCAGCTGAGGTGGTTCGGGCATCTGATCCGGATGCCCCCTGGACGCCTCCCGGTGGGGGTGTACCAGGCACGGCCTACCCGGACAAGACCCCGGGGTCGTCCTAGGACGCGCTGGAGGGATTATATCTCCAGGTTGGCCTGGGAGCGGCTTGGGGTCCCCAGGAATGAGCTGGATGAAGTTGCGGGGGACAGGGTCATCTGGGATTCTCTGCTCTCCCAACTGCTACCGCGACCCTAGCTGGACTAAGCGGTTAACGATGATAATGATGATGATGATGAAAAAGCTGTAGATGACCAGTTTTCATACTGATCTGGTCTTCATTTTTGTATAAAACAATGTATTTAGGTGAGCATGATGTCCATTTCCAGCTCCAGTTCCATCTGTGGATGTGATGTCATGTTTCTGATCACAGCTGTCATGTTTAGCACCTGTTATTTTCTTCCTCTGAATATTCTAGCTGCAGTAGAGCTTAGATGGCTACATTCAGACAGGTAGACTGCAGATTTGATTCAGTGAGCCTTTTCTGGGGCTATTGGAATTTAAATTGTGAAACTGGGCCACGTTAGTTGAAAGTTAATTCAAGAAAAACACTAAAATGTGCAGGGCAGTGGTGCTCCTTGACCAGACTTAGAAACCACTGGTCTGTGAAACCGAATCGGTTGGTGAAAA